ATTTTCTCGACGCGATTATGTCAGATTATATGACAGTTTAACAATCGATAATTAATGCTAATAAATGACATGACATTACTGTTGCAATTACGTGCTCGATATCTCAATTGGATTTCTGAGCGTATTGTAAAAGTAAACAGATACGAATATGCACATTCGTACACTGAGAAAAAAATACTATTTACTTCAACTAAATGCGTTTAGTTGAGTTTCAAATTTGTTATCCGAAATACTTGGTTTTTTTAATTCAAGCATATGGTAATAAAGATAACAAATTCGTACAAGTTGAATTAACAATAGTGGTAATGAACATAATTTAATTCACTAAACCATGAATTGTTTTGTCGAACATAAGTTGTGACAATTTCAAATAAAAGATACCGTTAAAAAAGATGAAATAGGCAATTCTCATTTACTTTAATTGAATATTAATCTGAATTTCTTTGTAACTAAGTATTTCGTCTAATCAAACTGCTTATTTTTANAAGCAGACAAAATATTGTGTTGTCCTATTGCGTTGTGCATTCAAAGTTACCTGTATTTAAGCAAATTATAATTTTGTTAAAACAACTAAATTGTCTTTCGGTAATAATCTAATTATTATCTATTATCTATTATCTAATTATTATCTATTATCTATTGAAACATGATATCTTCTTACGTTAATCAATATTTCATTGACAGCCCGTGACCGCTGCATATGAGTTGAATCGAATACTATTTTGTTACTTCAACAACTTTTTTTTCTCAGTGTATGAATACAAACATTCTTATTACTGAACTACATGCTGATCATTATCCTTGCCAGTCGTCTTTCTCGCATTTCTTTCATCGCGCGTATTGTCAAAAAAATACGAATTTATTTTCTCGTAATTAAAATCCTTGGTTTTTTTGTATACATATTATTTAATATACAAATAATATATAAACGATAATTACACACAGAGAAAACATAGCAAAGTTTACTTATAATTATCACGCAATAATTTCACAAAAAATACGTAAACATGCTTTTTTCTCAGTTTGTGAAAATAAATCGCCTACGTTATTTCGGTCTCAAAATATGCAAATGATCATGTAACCGGTTCTCTTCTATTTTGCAATGCTCCAAAAAAAAAAAAAAAATGAGAATAATTTTCACACAGAAATTGTCCATGATTACCGTAAAAAAAGTGGGTCGCTTCATTGGTTAACAAATTCTGCACTCGAATGGAGTTGTAATACATTTCCACGTAAAATGGACCGTAAATCGCGAAGAATGTTATCGCTTGAGAAATGATCCGACATATAGAAGGGTTACGTTGCGGAAAAAAGTTCGCGATAAGAAATTCTGCGTCATATCCTCGACATTTCAGACACGATAAATGCAAACTTTTCTTAGGACACAATCGCAGGTGACGATTAATCATCACAGATCGAGGAAGAGATCTACTTTTATTATTGAGTGATAGATGGGTAATACGAAAATTTCAAATGACAAGCGGCGAGATTTATTGCTACGATCTTACGAATCGAATTATATGCTTGAGGAGAAAACAACGAAAGAAAATAAAATAAAATTCGAACAAAAAGACAAATAAACAAAAATAACAATTATTAATATCGTAACATTGTTAAAATAATAATTATTAGTTTTACACTATCTTTACAACATATTGAGCAAAAATTATCTATTATTTTTTAATATTTTGTTATATTAATTATCTTGTTATTATTTATATTTTATTTTAGTATTGCAAAATATTATAAACGTCGCGTTGTAAAGCTTCAAGATCATATATTGCAAACAATAATGATTTTTCGTGTGGCTTCATGGTTCATGTTTCCAAACAATATTGAAGTTTAATCTGAGCAATTCTCGATAATAGCCGATCCTGATTTGCTATTGTTATTTCTTCCAATCCGTATGCATGATTCAATTGCAACGATTAATCGCTACTACAATCGGCCTGAAGTCCAAGGGGAGCGTATATATATGTACACATATCTATATAGACAAGCGCTCGATAAATTTCGTGCAGGTAAATGCGGAGGATTAGAAAGGGAGAGCGCCAATATATATATATAGGGTGTCCCAGAATTGCCGTACAATCTCTCGTAGGCAGATAGAAGGAATAAAACTGAGTCGAAAAGTCTTGAACCATTTTTTTCTATTATTTATAATAAAGAAGTAATTATTGATTTAAATCAGGCCAATCAGCGCCGATCTTTTAGCCAGGCGCACGTCAGTGAACTGCGCGGAGTGCTCACACACACCAGGCGCGTGGCTCACTGACGTGCGCCTGGCTAAAGATCGGCGCTGATTGGCCTGATTTAAATCAATAATTACTCCCTTATTATAAATAATAGAAAAAAATAGTTCAGGACTTTTCAACTCAGTTTTATTCCTTCTACCTACCTACGAGAGATTGTACGGCAATTCTGGGACACCCTATATATATACACATACACACATATATATATGTATACATATATGTATATGTATATATGTATATTATAAAATGTATATATATTGTATATTCATATATATGTAATATATATATGTATATATTGTGCGCCAACTCTATATTAGACAAGTCGAACTAGAAGAGATATATTTCGATGTAAGTGAGATAGTCGATGATTTGTGGCCACGAGCGAAATTCCACGCGGATTTGCCATTTCTTTTGGTTCGAGAACATAACGTTCGTTTTTAATAAAAAATCAAGGTTTTAACGAAAAATCACGTCATTTTCGCGATTTTCGCTCTTTTTCGCGATTATTTCTCACGGAAGTTTGAAGCGACTATACACTACTGAAAATCGATGACCCAAATCGAAAGAAAACGATCGAGAAAGTTTTAACTTGATGACGCAATAGATGTTTTTTTTTTTTTTTTAGGATATATTTCTGAGAACAAATGGCGCGCGCACATAGTGCACACTTTGTGGCGTACCAATTGTAATAAATTTGACATATATTTATTGGACATGCGTTGCCTGTGAAGTTTTTACTTGTTGCACCGTTGAATGAGATTTGCAACGATTGCCGAGATAAATATGATAAATAATATTGAGATGTATCGCAAGATGCGTCGTTCATGCTCCAATTATATATTCGCCAGCTGATGGAGTAATTCTAACTTTTGTAAAAAAAAAACTCAAAAAGTTTGTATCTTATCTAACAAGCGAATTTTCTAGCGCACGCGCTGAAAGAAGCAAAATCTGTAAGAAAGTATGCTTTTGTTTTTCAAAATCAAAATCAATTGATGAAACAAATTCACAGAATACAAGTTCGCATTATATCAGGCTGCTTTCGAAACCCTGACGAAGTGAGCTGAAATGTGTTCACGTCGGTATAAAAATGACACCAATGACCGTTCGAACCCGAAAAACATCTTCGAATGTTAAGTTCGCCGAAGTTGTTGAATTTTTTTGATATCTCGTTGGAAGAGAAAGAAAGTTTGATTGTAATTTGCAATGTTCTTACAGCGACCGCGGATCTACTCCGCGGAACTAATTGTATTTATGTAAAGATGAATGTAATGTAGCTTCAGGAATTTTTCAATAAACAAATGAATTTTTTGGCAGTTGAAGCAAAAACACACAGTTTTTGGAGTGTGTATCTATTTAAATCCGTTTATTAAAAAAACTAATAGCATAAACATTTTCAACCCTTTAATTAGGTCCTTATCAAATGCATTTAAAAATCTTAGCTATTACACGTCGCTGAGTGCTAATAGCTAAGATTTTTAAACGCATTTGATAAGGACCTAATTAAAGGATTGAAAACGTTTATGCTATTAGTTTTTTTAATAAACGGATTTAAATAAATACACACTCCAAAAAAACTGTGTTTTTGCTTCAACTGCCAGAAAATTCATTAATTGTATTTATGTCAATAATTCCTCCTAAATTGAAAGAATTATATATGTAATAGCAAAAAATTATACATGTAATAGCGCAATCGTTTATGCGTTAAAAAAGCATCGCGTTACGTAAATGCGAAGCGATAGAAAGAGGAAAAAGAAAATTTTATATATACTATATATATATATAGAAAGAGCGCAATTCTTCCAGCGGCGTCTATATTATGTAATATATCAGTAAGGGGTAAGAGAATGAAACTATCTACCACAGAGAAATTGTTCAAAAGTTTCTATCGGTTTTCATATACAAACTTGATGAAAGATTTTTTCGTACATTGTGGCGTTCAAAGGAACAATATTTTTCAAATATATATTTTCTCAACAAATATTTGAAATTCTTCGCCTCGAAGAAACGTTCAAATATCTACGTTAAATGTCTAAAAAAGAAATTTAAAAAAAACCGAGAGAAACTTCTCAACAGCAATTCAATACTTTTGCAATTCAACTCTTTTGCTCTGTTTTAATATTGTTTATGGAAATAAAAATTACATGAATATATAATATATGTTTATAAACATATGTCTGTGACGTTGTAACTTGAAATTGTCAAATAAATATGTAATTAATAATACGGAAACATAGAAATATCATATATGATGTGTACAGACGGCGTCATTAATTCGAAGAATAGGCGCGGGGAATCCCCCCGCCGGGGATCGGAGGGCAAGCGGGGCGGTTGCTCGTAGCGCCAACGGGCGCCGTACTAACTAACTAGTAGCAATCGGGTGTCCACAACTGGATACCCGATTTTGGGACTGAATGGATATTTGGATCAACTGGACTTTTTATGTGATCCCCGCGCCTATTCTTCGAATTAATGACGCCGTCTGTACATTTGTATGCAAAGTAGTTTGAATAACTAGATCTGGATGTTGAAAAACAAGCAGTGCGGCCTGTTTGCCTAGTGAAAAAGTTTAAGATAACGAGCTACAAGCTTTTTTTTTATCCAGCCAGCAAACCAATGGCGGATACGGACAAGATATAAGCCGGACGGGGGGAGTGATCTTTTGGAAAATGTCAAATGAGAGCGAAAAACAAAATGAAAACGAAACCTAGGTGTGTTTGCGTAAACGTTCCGAATCGTTCGTCTTACCTTCGCTGTTCTCATCCTCGGTTGACTTGGCCGATTGTAGCTTCGCGCTCGGTTGCTTCGCTGCAATCAAAATTCGCAGCTGGCACCGCGTTCTCTCTTTCCTTTTTTCCCCCCTTTTCTTATTTTTCTCTCGCCCTCACTAAACGTTTCCTGTTTTTTTTTTTTTTTTTAAATTTGACCGCCCGACTCCTCGTCAAGATCGATCGCACGGTCGTAATCTCAAGGTCGATCGGAAAATTCAGGATGTGACTTTGCTGTGTGTGCGTACGTATATACAGGGTGTTTCAGAACTATGGGATCAAACTTCTAGGGGTTATTCAGTGCAACAGTAGAAAACATTTGAGTATAGGGACCCATGTCCGGAAAAGTGTCACTACCGCACTACGGCCCTAAGACGCGTTAAAATTTAGNTATTTAGGCAATTCATCGTCTTTCTAAATTTTAACGCGTCTTAGGGCCGTAGTGCGGTAGTGACACTTTTCCGGACATGGGTCCCTATACTCAAATATTTTCTACTGTTGCACTGAATAACCCCTAGAAGTTTGATCCCATAGTTCTGAAACACCCTGTATATGTATATTGTGTGAAAACTATATCGTTCGAAATTCGTTCGCAATTATTTTCCGGATGAGAAATTTTCAGTTTTCTTTTTTATCATTATTACATATATTTGTGAGATACCGACAAAATATTGAAATAAGCGAGAACGATGAGTTTTTATTCTCTCGCTCTCGGTAAATGAAACATGAAACGACCACCTGGTTGAGCTGTTGTTGAAAATACTACGAAAAATTTGGCGAACATGATATTTATTTCTAAACTTCCAGTAGCATCGTGAATAAATAACGATGATATGTTACAGAGCGGAATACGCGATATATCTCACACCGGAAAGAGAGAGAGAGAGAGAGAGAGAGAGAGATCGTTTTTCGCAGTTTAATTAAAATTTATGTTTGTGCCACTTTTTACGCCTGTAATAGAAATTCCGTAAGTTTCGATGGGCACATTTTTTTATTTTATCCATTTGCTTCTTCGATACATCACAACACTACTGGCGAGACGCTACCTCTGATGAATTGACTCTGATGTGTCAGCTCGCATAAATCAAGAAGATAACGTTTGCGAATAATAAAAGATCACGCGGGTGGAGAGAGCGAAGGTCGATCGTCCACGATCCGTGATGCCTGCGATTTGATCGTGTTTTTTTTCTTTTTTTTAAGACCGGAAACGAGCGCGAGCAGCCACGTCTTGACGAGATAGAAAAGTCAACGGCGCGGAATTTATTGCGACCAAATTGCCTTGCCGTTGAAACGAGGTCGCGGGAAAGATTGCGCGAGATCGTGGACGATTAAATTCGAGCGCGACGACTAGCTGAGAAATCAGAACGATCGGTGGAAATCAAATTTGATATGCTTGAACATACGCGCAAGTTATTTGACCTTGTTTCATCTCTTTTGCGATAAACAAACCCCCGTCATATCAACTTTAAATTTGAAAATCTCGTTGATGTATACGTGTAATTATTCGTATCGCAATTAATGTGAAATGTTTCGTAATCTCAAACGTGTTCCAGATATTTATTTAGTTTTTTTAAGCAGATATTCCAAACAAGAGTGTGTGAAAAATAAAATCGCATTTTTTTAAGAGTTTTCTTGATATAAATTACTGCTTTTTATCACGCATGTATGTGTATTCTCTCGAATATTAAATATACATTCCGTCATTAAAAAAAAATTTACATATGTAAATAAAACAATATTATTTTTATAATATTATAATTATAATATTACGAAACACCGCGTATATGTAAACACTTCGCCTGTCGAAATAGATTTTGAGAGATATAAAAAATTTTATATAAAAAATGTCGAAACCACAATTTTATCCGAATGCCGTATATTGTCGCGTAAACGCGGCTTTAAACGAGAACCACATTTTTGCGCTTAATCGCACGTTACCGCGATACGACTCTCGCTCGATCGAGCACAAACCAAAGGAAAACCACCGATCCGATCTACCAGCTGGCTGTCTGTTCTCGAAAGTTGGGCCCCGGAACGGGTCCCACGTTGCCGGCGGGTAAATAAATGCATATCTACTCTGACTTAAGCGTTCACACTAAAACACCAGTTATAGGACAAAGTGATAACTTCACAACACCGAGAGAACAAGTACATGATAATGTGTGTGTGTGTGTGTGTGTGTGTATATTGTATATGCGTAGTGATCTATGTAACAATATCGTGAACATACACAATATATGTATATATATATATATATATACATATATATCGAAATATATACATATATATATGTTAAAAAATAATAACACGACATCATATATGTGTTATCGTAAAATCACGAGTGTGTGTATGAAGTAAACGGGGGGGAATGTGATGGAGAGCGAGTGGTGCTTTAACGTTATGAGTAGTAACGTTTATGAGTAAACGAGATCACTAAAGACACTCTTATACGAGACTAATATATACGGAGAAAACGAGTAAGTCGTTCACAGCGAGCAGCAAACTGCTCTCTTGGGAGAGCGTGCACTGAAGCGTGTTAAAATGTTTTTTTTTTTTTTTTTATTGTTTATAACAAATAGTAATTGATTAATTTTTTTGTTTGAACAAAAAAACTCTAATATGTGTGTGGAATAGAATTTGTACACGACTTGTGATCGCTCAGTTCACGCTCGAATGCAAGAAATCACTAAATGCAAATTGAATTTTAAACCTAAACAGTAGAGAAGTAAACATTTTGACATTGTTTTTTCTTGCTTTTTAAAAAAAATCGCAGAATATTTATTGACGCTGATTAGACATAAATGTAGGTTCGCGGATAAATATGCGAAAATATAAATATAAATAAACTTTTTCAGCAAAAAATCTTGTTACTTAAATAAAGTGTGTCGTGAAACACAAATCAGATAATTTTTGTTACAGCTTTTTTTTTTCCATAATTATTTCCACTGTTTAAGATTAAGTTTTGTCAGAGAGAAGTAAAGTGTAAACGAGAATGTGTGGACTGGCTGTAATTACAAATGCTGGCACTTACTCGATGGCGGTGGCTGCGGCGCGCGTCGCACAACCGTGTGCTCCTGATGCGGTCCCGTGTATTCGTGCCATGTGTACGTGCTCCTGTATTCCGAATGAAGCTGCTGTAACACGTAATTAAAAGCACGGGTTCGCTGTTAGAAATCACGCCGAGATGACACAGAGCGAAATTCACGCGAGACGTGAAAAGGCGAAAATGCTCTCCGCTATAATTGCATGCAAATGAAAGGGGGACGCGTGTGTATATGTATATATCGTTGTTGAATTTAATTAAGATCCATGATGACACACGGAAAACGCGATTGAGGAAATAACCCCCGTTGTCGAAGAAATATTTCCAAGCGTGCCATTCATTTCGTCAATTAAAATAAAACTGCACACAAGGTTTCAGTAGAACCGGTCGATGGTGTCGGGGCTTCCATAATCCATTCTCGGTGAGGGCACCGAGAGTTCGTAATATCTCTCTCTCGCGCGCGCGCGCGCGCGTTTCTTGCGAGCGTAATTAGTTTTTTACAAGAGAGAAAGCGAGAGAAAAGACTGGATATATATATGATTGAACTCGTCAAATTCACAAAAATCCAACTGTAAGGTAAATGTCCCAGTGATCAAACGTGTCCCAGTACTTAAACACTCTCACTCGAATTTTCATTTATATTAAACTATTTTACTGATTTATTTACAATAATCAAAAGTTTTATTAATATTTTTAATTGTATTATTATTAAAACATTGTAATAAAAGTTTTCCAAACAGTAGATGTGATAAAGAAAAAAATAGTTTTTGAGATTAGTAGCAAATTTATTGCGTTTTCAACTCTTACGTTAGCGGTTTGCGTAAGACAAAGTATATTCTCTTCTTAAGGTTATAATTAAATACACAAAATAAACTTGTTGTTCAGCAAAAATTTTTCAAACTCAGTATAGACTATAGATTGATAAAAAAAACTTTGTTCTATCTTTAATATTTAGTTATAATAATTAAATTATCGTGTTTATGTACTGGTACGAGAATCCGCCGGTGGCGGAGTTGTTAAACACTTGATTCATCATAGCGTAGTTAGTCTTGCATACACGTATTGAGTGATATTTGTGCGACAAAACATAATTTGCAACAAATCAGTAAGTAGTTTTGTGTTTTCATGGTTTCATTTTATCTAAACGTACTAAAATAATAATATTTTAACTAAAATATTTAAATATTATATGATAAAGTAGATGACTTGTTTTCATAACCTTATCAAAAGGTTATGAAACTCTAAGTAAAATCTAGTTTTGTAAAATCTTCAAATTTTTTAGTGATTTGTAATAAATCTATAACTTTTCATGGAATAAAATGCGTAAATAATTTTTTTCCTGTTCTATATTGTCGTGTTAATAATAGCGTTTAAGTACTGGGACAAGATAGTTTAAGTATTGGGACAAGTTGGAAAACCTGTTTAAGCACTGGGCCATAGCAGGTATGTTAGAATTCGATTAATTTACTTTGTTTTTCTTTATAAACCAGCTCTTTAAAGCTTTATTTAGTGAAAATATAGTCTGGTTTTTTAAATAAATACTAATACTCACCAACAAAAGTTAACCCTTTAACCTACAATGACGGGCAGAGCCCGCGTACGGTGATCGGGCCAGAAGTGGAATATTTGATATGCAATTACAGCCTGATGCAATAATTGTTTATTACAAAATGTTTATTTATACAAAAATCCAAAATACAAAAGAAATACATACATCTTTGAATCTAAATCGTAGGTTAAAGGGTTAAATTATACGAGTATGATTTGTATAAGTTAAACAGCTCTCTTAAACGTTTAAGTATTGGGACATTTACCTTAATTACAAATCGGAGAAAGAGCAAATAGTTGCCAAAAATATTTAAATTTCAAACGTGACAGGCAGTTGGAACTAAAAACACGGGTGTTGTTGTACGAAGTTTGTTAAACAGCACATATTTGTAAGTTAACATATTAATCTTATTTTGCGCATTTACGTTTATAAAGAAATTTAATATTTTGATATATTGTATTTGTAGAATTTTGATGAAAGACCTAAACGGAAGGTCGAAACGTTATTACGTTTCATTTATATACATGAATAAATAATATTTCCATCGCATATTCGCACAACAACACCCGTGTTTTTGGTTCCAACTGCTTGTCACGTTTGAAATTTATATAATTACAAACATCGGAATGTGTCTACCTTTAATTTAATTTCTCGCTCAAAAATTCTGATTTTTTTGTCGATTACAAAGAAGAAGCCAAAAATACTCCTTCTGTGAAAAGTTCAAATTTTTTCTAATAAGGTAACAATAAAACACCGCTCGAGGTAATAACAAATTAAAATTAAAAACACAATAATACAAGGTCTGTATCGAGCTCAAATGGTTATTAAAAAGTTATTATATTATACAACGTGTTTGATTTTGTTGACGGATTTAAAGTCTTACCACCTATCACCTTCATCTTTCGCAACGGACTTTTCCACATGTAAGAATCTTCATTTGTTAACTCCGAACTCTTCAAGCGCGTTTCACGATGTGTGCGTTATTGCGTAAAAATTTAAAATTTATTTATTGTTACACCGAAGAAGGCTCGAGTGAGGGCCGAAACGTTTGTATTATTGTAAAACTAACAACGGTACGTGTTTGTTATTTTAAAAAATATATATGTGAGTGGGCCGATACGGAGTCAAATACTAGATGTTGATGTATGAACAAAAATCTTTATTTAAACATGCCAAACGTTTCGACTCTTGGTTTGGGATCATCCTCAGTGGCATACAAAAATCTACACAAAGTAAATTAATATAAGAACCTTACAAAAATCTGACAAAAATTTGTTATTTTAAATTGTATAATATAATAAACTTAAATTAATATAAGAACCTTATACAAAAATCTGACAAAAATTTGTTATTTTAAATTGTATAATATAATAAACTTAAATTAATATAAGAACCTTACAAAAATCTTACAAAAATTTGTTATTTTAAATTGNTAATATAATAAACTTAAATTAATATAAGAACCTTACAAAAATCTTACAAAAATTTGTTATTTTAAATTGTATAATATAATAAACTTAAATTAATAGAAGAACCTTACAAAAATCTTACAAAAATTTGTTATTTTAAATTGTATAATATAATAAACTTAAATTAATATAAGAACCTTACAAAAATCTGACAAAAATTTGTTATTTTAAATTGTACAATATAATAAACTTTTTAAGAACCATTTGAGCTCGATGCAGACCTTGTACAATTGTGTTTTTAATTTTAATTTCACATTTTTTATTTACCATGAAATATTATTTTCAATTATTTTTTTAAGAATGTTCATTGACATGACACATTGTGCGGACAGTTTTATTTTTTCATTAGGATATATATATATATAGAAGTCCCCGCAATGTTTTTTCTTTCTTTTCTCCCCCTCTCTCTTTTTTTCTCCCTCTCTCTTCAACATTTAATAAATTTAACTAACTGCCAGGTTTCAGGCAATAAGCGGTACACTTTTTCCGCCGAGATCCCGCGCACAGACAGACTATCGATTCTTCGACGTTTATTTATTAACGGCAATGTGGGACAACGTTAACCTTTACTGTAGGTCGCCGCGCCCAGACGACATGAAGCGCAGCATTTTTCTCTTTCGTTTCTATTATTTTTTTTGAAACTTTTATGAAAAAAATCGCGGATGAAACTTCCTAAACTTTGACATTACAATAGTTTGTAATTTCACAGCGCATTGATACGTTAAAATACGATGATAATTCGTAAATCGGTCGTGTGACAATCCGATTGAAAACTTCGATGACGAGAAACGTGCCGATTAAATAGAAATCTATTCGTATAGAAAGAGAGAAACGGTTGCGATTCGGGAACAAATTCTGACGCGAACTCGTACGAAACACAAAGTTTTCGCGCGATTCCGCGCCGTCGATTTTATTGAGATCATTAACGGGAGCTCGCGCGCGATCACGGAGCAGAAATGACAAAAAGTTAAATAAAAAAGCGAAACGACAGTTGATACGTATACATTTTTAGCCGTTTCTGTTACTCGTGTTCACACTTCTCTAAACGTTTTTATCATCTGAAGACCGCACAGGAGAAAAGAAATTGATAAGTTACATATTTTCGTAATTTTAGAAAAGAGTGATTTTAAAATTCGAAACGTACTGTGTATTTCTCTGTCGTACGTTTTATAAAAATACTTATAAAAAAAGAAAGGTCAAAGGGCCAATAAGAGCCTTAACACGGATATTAGTGTGTAACAATTAAGGATTTATTAACTTTAGTTCTGATCGACTTTAGTTCTGATCGATTAATATCGTTGGCAGATGTCTCTGTTTGTTTGCGGAGTTTTGTTTGAATTTTCATACTGTTTTGTGAGCATTTGACTTTCGGCATGGAAAAGTGACAGTCGTACAATTTTATCATTACTTTTACCGGACTGCGTTTGACATGTTGAAGGTCTTTTGACATATAATACATCGACACCTATGTAAGTTTTGTTAAATCGTTGCTTCTTATAATCTTTGGTAATTATTTACAATAGGGGAGCCACTTCCGATTTCAATAATTTGTACATATGTTGTCAAGGTCATTGTCCCGAGTAATAATATGAAGGTTTTAGGCCGCGGACGTGGTTTGTTTAGAAGTTACAGAGGAAAAAAGTCTACTGAACAATATGTAATTTTTGGACATCCTATATATGAATAGGTGTTCTGCGTGTGTTTGGGCACGTGTTTGTTTATACGCTTTTGTAGTTGTATCTTGAAAGGTCGTTTTATGGGAAATGCCTCTATGTTCGTGAAGAATATCTTTTTGATCATTATTTGATCGAATTTGCATTTAAGAAAACGTTCGATTTTGATGAACGATTGGACGCTTTTTTTGAAATAATGTCTGTAACAGACATTATTTTTGATCTCACGTACATTTCGTTCGTGTTTCAAGCGTGTAGGCAGGGGAGGCTGCGCCCCCCCGCAGAGGGAGTGGCTTCGCCCCTCCCTCTGCTCCCCCCTTGAAAATATTTTGTGGAAAATAACGACTTGATTGGATGAAAAAGGATGTCCTAACCATTGNGGAAATTTTGCGAGANGGAA